AAAGGCATACATTTTGCAATTTTTTTCCTACAAACTTTAATTCATTATTTTTATTTTTCATTAATCATTTTCTGTAACAATCATTTTTTTAGGAAAAGAAATTTTCTTGAGTTATAAAGGTTTAAAGTAAAGACATACATTTTGCAAATTTTTTCCTACAAACTTTAATTTATTATTTTTATTTTTTAATAGTCATTTTCTGTAGCAATCATTTTTTTGGGAAAAGAAATTTTCTTGAGTTATGAAGGTTTAAAGGAAAGGCATACATTTTACAATTTTTTTCTTATAAAATTTTTTTGTAAAAATTTGAAACAAACAAATGTAAATTAAAGAAAAATAGAATTGTATGTTTAAAATGATATGAAATGGTTAATTGAAAATATCGATTATCTAATGTGAAATGTAGGAAGCAAGTTTGCAACAGTATCTGAATTTCTTTTACAAAAATAATTCTAACAGGAAAATAATAAGTAGTTTACTAAATTAATTGATTATTAATACAGATTAATTACAATTAACTACACATGGTACAATTAGACTGTATATTGTATTTTACTTAATAGTTTCAATTTTAAAATTCAAAAGTCAGTAAATTTGCAAATTATCGAATTTGAAAAATTGAATAATTCTTCGGAAATTTGAGATGTGACGAAATCGATAGAGCAGAGTCAAGAATGCATCGATATCGAAAAGCGAACGGTTTTAAACGGAGCTCCGGCCAACGGCTGAAAGTATTTGCCAAAAGGACGGTTCGCCTCTAATGAAAATAGAGCCTAAGCCACGTCCCAAAGTACCAAATTGGATTTCGAGGCGGAGCTTGTGTGGCCAAATGATCCCACCCGTTTTACAACTGTTGCCAATCGAAAGATTTGCCAAACAACGTATTCCGTGCGTTCGTCGATCGCTGTACTCCACATGGGTGATCACACGGAAATAGATCTCCCCTAATTTTCGAGCTTGTAATTTTACAATTTTACTCTTGCAAATATACAGCTTTTCGATGTTATGTGATTGGGAATTTAATCGTGTGCAAATATGAAAAATGACGAGTTTGAGAATTTACAAATTGTATAATTTTAAAGCTTGAGATTTAGAAATTTGAGAATTGTACAAATTCGAAACACCTTCAACTTCTAAAAACTTAAGAATTAAAAATTTAATAATTATACCGATTTTTAAATTTACAGGCTTCAAAGTTTATAAATCTTCAAATTCCCAAAGCCACCAGTCTGAAAATTTCATAATTATACAGAAATCATAAATTTCCAAATCTTACTATCTTAAAAATCTTAAGCTTGTTATCTTAAAAATCTCAAGTTTACTATCTGAAAAATCTCGAGTTTGCTATCTTAAGATCAGCTCTGCAAAATCTATAAAATTGAAAGCGAAAGAAGAAAAAAAATGAAAAGCAAGAAAATCAAGTATCAGCTAAAAAGAATAAGGAAACAGCGGACAAGTTTGCTCATCAAAAGAATACGAAAACGTTCATTGAAAACGCGATGTTCGATCAGTCCGACGATTCAACCAACTGAAACAAGATCTCACTCGTTAGGCGAGAACGGCCTGAGCTTTTCACGTGTCTAGCTATTCGAATCACCCCCTTTTTTTTCTTCTCTTCTTTCAAACGACACGGAAGACCTCATTGCCTCGGGCCTAACGTTAACGCGCGTGATTTTCTTTTCACTCCCCTTCGAGCACACGGTTGCTGTTTGCACTGCGATCCTTTTCACGATGGAAAAGACGACGGAGAAAAAGAGGAGGGAGAGAGATAGAACTCGCGGAGAAAACAGAGGAAAGCTGGTAATTATGATTATGGGGATGACTGAAATTCTTAACTTGTTAACTTTGAATAATTTCGTTTCTGGGGGCGTAAGATATTTTTGTTTGCGAATAAGTTAAAATTTATTAAGTTTGATACTGGTAGATTAATTTTGTTTTTGAGGGGATAAGGTATTTCTGTTTGTAAATTAGTTAAAATTTATTAGGCTTGAAAAAATAATTTTCAAAGCTGGAATTTAAGAACCTACACATTACACAGATTTTATATAATTTTGTAGGGAGTGATTTTGAAAAAATAATTTTGTAAGCTAGAATTTAAGAACCTAAACATTACACAGATTTTATATAATATAATTTTGTGGGGAGTGATTTTGAAAAAATAATCTTCTAAGCTAGAATATAAGAACCTACACATTACACAGATTTTATAGAATATAATTTTGTAGGGAGTGATTTTGAAAAAATAATTTTGTAAGCTAGAATTTAAGAACCTACACATTACACAGATTTTATGTAATATAATTTTGTTGGGAGTGATAAAAAAATATATACAGCGTGTTTCACAATTAATGTAGGTCCCTGAGGGGTAGCTAACAGCATCGTATAACGCGTAGTTATCCAACGCGTAGTAATCCAACGCGTAGTAACCCAGCCTGCAGATATCCAACGCGTAGTAATACAGTGCGTGGATATTCAACGCGTAGTAACCCAACGCGCAGTAATGCAACGCGTGGTAATTCTACGCGTAGGAATCTAACGCGTGGTAATCTAACGCGTAGTTAATCAACGCGTAGTAATCCAACGCGTAATAATCCAGCGCGTGGTAATTTAACGCGGACCAATCAGAGCGCGAGGCTAAATATTAATTTAGCTACCACAGTGAAAATGTCGTACCCCACAGTAAATAATCCTCGTTGCTAATAGAATTTTCATAGAAAGTACAAACAATCACACTGTAAAAATCCTTACGTACAGGTGATAATAAAACTAGAAATAAAAGTTGCTTCATTTAGAAGAATTCTTTCGTTCGTTCTGGCACTTGTGCACATTCTGCGCTCAATATCGCGCGAAGAGAGGTGTAAAAAATATCACGGCAGAAACACAAAAGGAATTCTAAAGTGTGCCACGCTCGTTTCTGAAGTTTCATTCGTGAGAATACGTTTGAAACGGGTAAAGGAACATTCTTTGGGCTCGTATTTGTTAAATTTGCTAATTAGACACCGGTTGAAATATTGAAAAGAATGTCGTCGGTGGGGCTGCCGCTTGTACGCGGGTAATTGGAATATGTAACGAGCACGTAAAATGAATGAAACCAGCGAATTTCCTCCAGTTTTATGATACTGTAGATACAGGGTCCTTATTACGTAAGGGAAAACGTGAATTTATAGCGTTTCCATTATTTCAGAAACCGTTTTCTTCGCCTCGATTCTACCATCGCTATTGTTAACGATAAGAAGTGCTTTGGAGGAGTTTATTTTTTTCGAGACACGTTTTATCGCGGTTATAAATCGACATTCGCAGGATCATTTTGTATCGAACGTACTTCAGATATGAATTATGGTAACACTTGTTACATCATCTTATTTTTATTGACAATCTTCTCTTACTTTCTGACAATTAAAATTAGTAAAAGAATTTTTTACCTCTTAACATAAATATTTTTAATGAAGTTTTTAATGTAGTTCATTGAATTAAACTTGATTGAATTACCCTCAGTAAAGTTTGTGAAACTAAAAGTATTTTTAATGAAGTACATCCTGAGCATCACAATAAAAACAGCAAACTAAAATATAGTAAAATGAAATCGTACTATTTCTTGAGGTAAACAAAAAGTACTATCAGTGTTACAAAAGACTTTGTTACATAAATAAATAAATGTCATGAATATTCACGGTAAACCAGATGGAATACGGACAGTTTTTGTATGAAGCTCAAATGTAAATAATTGTACACTAATATCTCTCATTTGCACTAATTAGAAGCGTTCTGTTTTTTGTTTTATTATAATTAAGCAGAGAGGAGGCTACTACAGCAAAATTACAATATTACACAAAGCGTGTTTGCTTTTGAATATTCCATAGTCAAAGGATTAATCTTCTGTGGTCCAAGTGTGCCTTCCAGGTACAAATTTAATTAACTACTGTTACCTAGAATATCTATGAAATCCTGCAAACCTCGACGAAAAGAGAAACTTTCGTATGCGCATACTTTCATAAATTTCGTATAATTTTTTTCACCACACAAAATTTTTATACAAAATTATTTATAATAGTAATTTATGTATATGTTTGTCAGGAAATTATTTGAGGTACAATATGTGAATGATGTGTGTTGAATTCATATTTGAACCATATGTGGATGGTCTGAATTTTTCATTAGGAATAAAGTCATTAATAAATGAAAATTATTTTTGAGTCTTCACATCCTACACATATTTACTTGTAATTTATAAGAGAAAATGATTTGTGTTAAAATATATGCATGATGAGTAATGAAGGTTCATATGTGAACCACATGTGTATGTCCTGAATTTTTCATCAGGAATTAAATGATTCATAAAAGAAAATTATTTCTCTGTACTCACATTTTGCTCAAAGTTATTTGTAATACATAAAAGAAAATGATTTGTGTTAAAATATACGTATGGTGAGTAATGAAGGTTCATATGTGAACCACATGTGGGTGTCCTGAATTTTGATCAGGCATAAAGTCATCAATAAATGAAAATTATTTCTGTATGTTCATATTCTATACAAATTTACTTGTAATTTATAAGAGAAAATGATTTGCATTCAAATATATGTATGATGAGTATGAAGCTTCATATGTGAACCACATGTGGATGTCCTGAATTTTGATCAGGAATAAAGTCATCAATAAATGAAAATTATTTCTGTATGTTCACATCCTGTATAAAATTACTTGTAATTCATAACAGAAAATGATTTGAGTTAAAATATATGTATGATTGAGTATGAAGCTTCATATGTGAACCACATGTGTATCCTAAATTTTCACCAAGCCCAAAATGCATAACAAAAGAAAATTATTCTTATGCACCCACATCTAACAAAATACCTATCTCCATAAAAATACCTATATAAATATAAAAATTCATAGGTGAACCCCATAGAATATCCTGAATTTCGCTGAGAAATAAAAAGACTGTTTGTGTACTCACCTTCGCGAAGTCGATCTTCAATGTGCAGCAACCAGAATATATATCTGCCCCGTGAAGTGTTTCCTTCGCCCTGGTTGCTGATTCCACCGAGTCAAACGTGGATTCCGAAGAATTGCAGTTAAGAATATATAGAAATATTTCGCAAGCTACCGATCAACGGAAATCATTTACGAAACGGATGCTGGGTGCAAAGAGGATCTCCAGTTCGAAACGGAAATGGAAATTTTGCTACTTTCCTGAACGAATCTTAAATAACTTTCGAAGCAACAGGCGGTGCTATTCTGAACATTTCGAATACTGATTTTTATATTATTTAAAAAATACAAGTAGATGGTCAAATGTTATGAGGAATATTTTAGTACGAGATTTAACTCTATTTTTATTTCTATTACTATTATTATTCCATTTTCGTATTATTTAAAAAATATATGGACAACCAAATGACATGAGGAATCTTTTAGTACGGAATTTAATTTAATTTCCATCTCTATCAGGCATATTATTTAAAAAAATAGATGGCTAAATAAAATGAGGAATCTTCCAGTACGAAATTTAATTATTTTCATTTGAAGGGTTCTTAAATTATTCCAAGAGTTAAGGGTAAAAAGCAAGTAATTTTTCTCGAAGACAAAAATTTTAACAGTTCATAAAATACTTGGAATAAAATTTGGTCAAAAGTTAAAAAATCGCGTGGAAAGTTCAAAGACGCCGATGCACACCAGTTTAAGTTCCTTAAATAACAGCGACGTTTCAAGACAACGAACCCGTTTAAACTGCAATATGTAAAACTTGCCGGAGTTTCCAGGTAGTTACACGAAAGAAAAATGGGGTCATTCATTTGTATGCGACGAGTTACTTCGCGATGTTCAACCGGAAGCATCAGAGAGCTTAGGATAAGGTCGTCGTACCGGAAGATGTAACCGAGATGATGTCGATCGCAACTTCTGCTTATAAATCTTCATCGCGTAACACTGCCACGTGAGCAAACTTCAGCGATTCCGACAGAAAAGGAGATCCTCTTTGGAGCTTAAAAAGCCTTTTCGGGAAACTTGAAAAAACGCGTCGTAAAACGAGATCCACAATGGTGGACGCCGTGCATTGTAAAGGATATTCCACCATCGCTTGAACGCCATTTTTCTTGAAGATGACGATGCGCTGAACCTGCCCGCTGGGTGCACTGATCGTGTGTAACACTTCCTGTAAACAGAACATTTCAAATTATTAACATTGACTTATTACTAAATTTAAATTTAATTATTAAATTTTCTTGCGACCGACGAAATATATTGTCACTATCTCATTTTAAGGTTAAAGGATCTCTTCTCTGCCTTTCTCGGTTTCCGGCCATTTTCTGGGAGAACACGGAGACCCAATGCACTAAAGCAGTGTAAATTACGAGTTTGGTTAACGTTCTTTTGCCAGTTTAGATAATGTTCTTTTCTGAGTTTAATGTTCTTTCTCGAGTTTAAATAATGTCGTTTCTTTAGATTTTTAAGGGACGCATTTTTCAAACTGGAGTGTTCAAAGTTTTATACTGTTGGCTTTGTCAAGCTATTTTTTATAAAATTTTAGGGAGTTGTTTCTTTACGTGTATGTTTCTCAAGAGAATTTTATTTAGTAAAACCACCCCTGTAAATCTGTTATATTCTTGTAAACTCTATCTTGCTTGCGACAGAAATTGTTTAAGAATTAAATTGATTAAAAAGTAAAGAAATTTGTGAATAGGTTACTTTCTAAAGCGAAATGATTAAACGTGTTATCAAGAGATAATCCGGAATATTATTCGAATATACGCGGCACGTAAAAAACGTGCGTGATATATTTCCTCCGCCATATCTCAAATTCAAATCCGACATTTTTCGTGCACATCATATTCCACGGGCATCCGGAATAAAGCTTTAAAAACCTTTCGCTCGTATTTTCGAGCACGCTTCAGGAGAAACTACGCGTTTTATAAAACGGTCAGTAAATTTATCGCGAAATAGAAGAAACGTTGAGAAGACATTAAGGGGTGTTCTTGATGTCCGACATGAGCCACATCCATCACTGGTTGCTCACCATATTTATCGCTAGCGCAATTTTTAGGTGAAATACAGGTACAGGTGCGTTGGAATACTTTATATTTAAAATTATTTTATGGGAATTATTGTGTTATTGTATTTTGTATTGGAGAGATTGGTTTTTTACTGTAAATGAAGTTTAGCATTAATTTACAAGCATTATTTAAAAAGAATTATTTTAATCTTCAAGTATTATTCAATAAGATTTATGTTAATCTACAAGTATTATTTAAAAAGAATTATTTTAATCTTCAAGTGTTATTGAATAAGAGTTATGTTAATCTACAAGCATTATTTAAAAAGAGTTATTTTAATTTTCAAGTGTTATTGAATAAGAATTATGTTAATCTACAAGCATTATTTAAAAAGAATTATTTTAATCTTCAAGTATTATTCAATAAGAATTATATTAATCTACAAGCATTATTTAAAAAGAATTATTTTAATCTTCAAGTATTATTCAATAAGAGTCATATTAATCTACAAGCATTATTTAACAAGTATTATTTCAATCTTCAAGTATTATTCAATGAGAGTTACGTTAATCTACAAGCATTATTTAAAAAGTATTATTTAAATCTTCAAGAGTTATTAAATGAGAGTTACGTTAATCTCGTCTGTTAATATTTAAACATTACAATAGAAAGTTACTATAGGGCTCAAGAATTAAAAATGTCTGTTGTCTAACACTGTTCAAAGTGCATAAGTTATGAGTGTTGAAAGTTTGGAGCTAATTTTTGTTAACAAACTTGAATAGCGTACATGTGAAACTTCCATGTGTGAAGTACCAAAGTTACTAATGTGACCGCAAAGTTTCAGAGTCTGAAAATACCAGAATTTAAGGTTACCAAAGGTCCAAACTTCTAACATTCTAAAACTTTCAAGTCTTAAGCTCGTGGAGTTTCAAGTTCTCAAAGTCTTGCTCTATGGAATACAAAAATTTGCTATAAAGCAAGGTTTCCGAAATGTACAAACGTCAAGTGTACCTCTAAAAGAATATCTACAGTTCCAAATATCCAAAGTTCCAAATATTTTAAAATACTTGATAATTTCCAAAGTTACAAACCTCAAAAATCTTAAGTCAAGTCTCCAAAAGCCTTAAAGTCCCAAAATTCTAAAATACTCGATGACAATAATTTTGTCAGCACATTTATGAATTTCGAGAACCTAACAAAATTCTAATGTTAGCTAATGTAATTATATGTTAACTAATGTAATTATATGTTAACGTAACGTTGATTCTAATGTAACGTAGAACAAAAATAAATCAACTCGCCAGAATATAGTTTCCCTCTTCCTTTCTTCATTTCGATTACCGAAAGGACTCGAATTCGATGATCTCCCACACTCTCTGTTTAGCGAAGGAAGAGCAAAGAACGTTGAAGATAATTCACGATACAATTGAAACGTTTCTTTCCAACAAAAACAAAGTCGGAGTTTGAGGAATCGTCGAGTTCGAGTTAACTCGATTAAATTTCGGCTGAATGTACATTTGTTTTTGTTCTCGTTTTAAACATTCGCAGCAGTGCAGGCTGAAAATAAGAACCTAATCCCGTTGGTTCCATGGAAACTGGGTCGTTTCTTTCTTCTTCGCTACTTCATACACTTTTTACGTTTGATACGAACCAGCGGAATATTTCGCTGGTATTGCTACGTTACATACTAATAAATACTGTTGTTTCACTGATTAAACTGAGGGTCTAAGGATGTTTGTGATGGCCGATCAAAATTGTGGCAGAAACATTCGATCCAAGAACACGTAAATAAAACGGAACACTAAAAAGTAAAATTGTAAAACAGTGTGGTAACAAAAAGTAATATTGCAAAACGATAAAACAGTAGAACAACAAAAGTGCAACCAAATAGTTAACCAAAGATAAAACTGACAAAGTAACAACATATAAAAGCCATCAGAATACCAAAACACTAAAGACAGTAAAATACAGCATAAAATACAACATAAACAAACAAACTGCAACACTAAAAGGCTGCTATAAAAACGTCTCTTTAAAAGAAAATTTCTTGTCCACACACGTTCGCATACATACTTCGCCAAACAACCGTTCAATTATCACGTGACCACATGAATTTCATTCTCCATTACCGTTGGTTTTCTCCTTCCAGCCTCCATTTCATTATTTTTCATTATCCGCTAAAAAAGCTCGATACGAGAAGGATAATCGGGGCAATTTACAAAACGAAGGTAAACGTTTAAATCGCGGGTATGTTTTAAAAGGTGTTGCCAGTCTAAACAAGAGCGCGAAATGGCCGCGTAATGGGCCGAAACACCAGACAGCCGAGTGTTTCGCTGCGTATACGGAATCGGACTTAATTATCCGGCGTTTCCATCTAGAACGAAGAAACGCAAGGTTCCTTTGTGCAGTCCGAAACTCGACTACGAAGATCTTTTGTTGTACCTACGGTATATATAGTCCGGTGTAAATTCAATACGCTTTAGCTCCCTTTTTCTCGCCTGTCTCTGGCCGATCTTTAACAAAGGCGGCCCTTTCTCGCCTTAAACGACAAGCGGCCAGAAATCGTGATAAGAATATAGGTAATCCCTCGACAAGTTTCTTTGTTCCGAGGCAAGGAAGTGCTCACAAAGTTCCTTCTGATCATTTTTCCTATCGCTTTTGGGCGACGGAGTTAATTAGGTAATTGTGGACGATACTTCGAAAACCTTCAATCGACGTTGGAAAAGTAGCGGCACTTTTCAAACTGCCTTTGCATGGTCAAACTGCCTTTGCACATAATCTTAACCCTTCCCTTCTCAATTACACAGTATGTCGGAAAAGTAACGGAGCTTGTCAAACTGCCTTCGCATGGTCAAACTGCCCTTGCACATAACCTTAACCCTTCCCTTCCCAATTACACAGTATGTCAGAAAAGTAACGGAACTTAAATTTAAGGAAAACCAGCGCCGTCTATTAAAACGATATGTCATCTGAAAATAGTCCTCCCCTACAAAACACAGCAATGTTATCTGAAAACAGTCCTCCCCTACAAAACACAACAATTATTGAAATCGAGCAACGAATTGCAAACTTGTAGCGTTTAATGCGACAGAACCTTTCGCCACCGTGTCACAAAATCACGGGCAAGCGCAACAAATTGCTCGCGTTGAATATTGCGAGGATCTTATCAAAACAGCCAGACGAAACTGTACATTCCTGGAATCAATTGTAACTAGTGACGAGACGCGGTGCTTCAAGTATGAACCTCGAACAAAGCGCCAAAGTGCTACGTGGAAATCTCCAGGCTCTCCAAAATCAAAAAATTGCGGTTCCAAAAGTCCCTCGAGAAGACAATGTTAATTTGCTTTTACGATTCTAACGGAATTATACTTCGGGAATAGGTTCCACAGGGACAAAATGTTAATGGCGAATATTATCTGGGTGTTATGGAACATTCGTGGAAGAGGATCGTTCGTGTGAGGCCCGATATCGAGCGCCGGGAAGCTGGTTTCTGTTGCATGACACCATGTGAACTGTCTGTTCGTGAATTTTTGGCGAAAGACGAGTCTGTTCCAACATTCTTCAAACTCTGACTTATCTCCGTGTGATTACTTCCTTTTTCCAAAACTGAAATTAGCTATAAATTTGTATTTGCATACTAACTTTTAAACAAACCTTGAGACCTAAATAAACTCCGCAACAAATCAATTTCTCCAAATATCACTCCTACCAAAAAGTCCAGATAAGTTTATTACATAACAACGCAATAGAAAAGGTCGTATTTCGAAAAGTTTTCTATTTCACTCGCTGAATTTCCTCGCGCTACACAATCTTCACATATATTATTCATAAGTAGATAGTATAGGTTGCCCGCTGTTTCTTCCCGAATCTTTTCACGTACGTCGTGAACCCGGATTTTAAATCGTGACTGGGAGACCCATTGTATCCCGTCAGGTCTTACCGTGATCTGAAATTCCTCCGCGAGATATTCTGACGTACGATGTTAATGTTCCGTGTATTAGTTCATTTTTTAAGTATTAATCGACATTTCGGGCCTCGACTTTAGCTGCTGGCACGGAAAAATGATAAAGATAGGTCATGTTCTCTATGGCTGGATTATAGATTCGTTCTTATGAGTCATGGGTTATGGTATGAACTATTTGTGTGATGCATTGTAGAGAAC